TTTCTTTCTTTCTTTCTTTCTTTCTTTCTTTCTTTCTTTCTTTCTTTTTCTTTCTTTCTTCTTTCTCTCTCTCTCTCTCTCTTTTCTTTCTTTCTTCTTTTTTTTTTAAACCAGGGGTTGTAGAAGCTGATGTCTGATGGGAAGGCATCTTTCAGTAATGTCACCACCCATCAGAAGTGTTATACTGGGACAGGAAAGTAGCAATTCACCCAGTCTCTCAGAAGCCACCTGAGACACAATCCATTCTCAGAAATAGTCCAGCAGCACATCAGTCCACTTTCCTTTCTTGCAGGTATTCTATCTCTTTGAAATGACTCGGTCAGGGATAAGCTTCACAAGTTTTGGTTTCTCAACATCTAACAAAACTGCCTTTCCCTAAAGTTTGCTGGCCCAATTAAGAGAAGGAAAGAGGAATCACCTGATTTCCTCCCAATGAATGAGCTTTCATGATGGAAACTTTGCAGCAGCTAGACCCATTCTCTCTGATTACCAAAGACAATGCTGCCATCAGGTACTTCCAGCCAGTGCTCACTGCCAAATGGATGTAGCTGGCTTTGAGAAAAAAGTGCCTAAAACTCTTTCAAATTGGTCATTAAAAAAAATCATCTGTGCTTGGGTACATGGACAGCTTTCTTTTTAAGAAAGATCTTAGAATAAAGGTAAGAGTCCAACAGTCAATAAACCCCGATTTAGGTTTAAAGAGGCACAAAAACACCAAAAAAATCTTAATTTTATTTTTTTTATTTCATGTCCTGGCTGATGACTACTTTCTTAAACTAAATATCCAGTCTCCAGTTATAAAATCTCTATTACTTTTATTTGAAAGGGAAATTCTTAGTCACCTTAAATATATTCAAGGAGTAGCTCTAAAATACACATTTCTACTTAACATCTTCAGATGAACTGAAATGTTTGGGGGGAGTATTAAATAGATGGTTATTTAACCACTTGAACTTTATCAAGAAATTATATAAAGTTTCAAGGAACTGGGCACAAATCAGAGCTCTCTGTGCTCATATTTTGTGCCTAGAATGTCACCCGGGCTCAAGAAATCAGTACACAGTGGGCCCCAGGATGTAATAGTCAAAGAAGAATGAGTACTGATTCTGAACAGCTTTACTTTGAAAGGAAGAACGTCAGCTTTCTATGCAATAATTTAATTTGGATTTTAGTTCTATAAACTTTGCAGTTTGGAGACGTTTTTCCAGGTATGCCTCCTTTGAAAACATGTCACCTAATTTGTGCAGTGATGGCATAAACATTGAGACCTTGGCCCAAGACAGAGCAGGTGATCTTGCCCCCAGAAGCAACACATTCTCTGGGCTCTGTGGATGACCTAATTGGGTCTGTCTTTTCTGGACCCTTTGGTGAGTCTAAAGCTGCTTCACGTTAAATACAAATGCTCATATAAATGCTGCTGCCTCTCTGTCATTTGCCCTGTTAATTGTGCCTGTCTGGATGCTCCTAGAGGCCACGGGCTGCGGGGTTTCTCAAAGTCTGTTCAGGGTAATAATCCTTAATGATCCAAAGCCAGAGGGGACCCGGGGGCTCCTGAAGTGACCCACCTAGGCTTACCTTAGTTCACATTTCTGCAGTACCACATGCCGACAGGATTTCTGGACATATACGTGAGGTCATTTTAGAAAAAGTTTGTTATTACGGAAAAATCTGCTTTGTCTCCAGAAACCCAAAATGCCCTCATATGACTTGTACGATGAGAAAGGCTCATTCAGGCCATAAAACAGCCTGGTCTTTTGAATTGCTTCACCAGGGGTTCTGGAGTTCCATTAAAGAGGAATAGACTTATCATACTACCTTAGCAAAAGCCCACACAGGAGTACTGCGCTGCTCCCTATCATCTCTGTTTCTGTGCTTTGGAATACAAATGTAGGGATCCGAAGGGGTACGTGCACCCCGATGTTTATAGCAGCAGTGTCCACAATAGCCAATCTGTCCATCGACAGATGAATGGATAAAGAAGATGTGGTCTATATATACAATGGAATAGTATGCAGCCATCAAAAGGAATGAGATCTTGCCATTTGCAACAATGTGGATGGAACTGGAGGTATTATGCTGAGCGAAATAAGTCAATCAGAGAAAGACATGTATCATATGACCTCACTGATATGAGGAATTCTTAATCTCAGGAAACAAACTGAGGGTTGCTGGAGTGGTGGGGGGTGGGAGGGGGTGGCTGGGTGATAGACATTGGGGAGAGTGTGTGATATGGTGAGCACATGAATTGTACAAGACTGTTGAATCACAGACCTGTACCTCTGAAACAAATAATACATTATATGTAAAAAAAAAAAAAAAGAAGAAGAAGAAGAAGGTAGTAGGAAGGTAAAAATGAAGGGGGGGAATCGGAGGGGGAGACAAACCATGAGAGACTATGGACTCTGAGAAACAAACTGAGGGTTCTAGAGGGGAGGTGGGTGAGAGATAGTTTAGCCTGGTGACGGGTATTAAAGAGGGCACGTACTGCATGGAGCACTGGGTGTTACAGGCAAACAATGAATCATGGAACACTACATCAGAAACTAATGATGTGGGGCTCCTGGGTGACTCAGTCATTAAGCGTCTGCCTTCGGCTCAGGTCATGATCCCGGGGTCCTGGGATCAAGCCCCGCATCAGGCTCCCTGCTCGATGGGAAGCCTGCTTCTCCCTCTCCCACTCCCCCTGCTTGTGTTCCCTCTCTCACTGTGTCTCTCTCTGTCAAATAAATAAATAAAATCTTTAAAAAAAAAAAAACTAATGATGTAATGTATGGTGATTAACAAAACATAATAAAATAAAAGTTTTAAAAAAGAATACGTTCTTGGTTTTAATTTCAGGTCAGCTCCCTGTTGACTTCACACACACACATCTCAGGGGATACTTCAGATTCTGAAGACTTCCATTACCACAAGCAAAGACACTCTAAGAATACCACTTTGCATAACTAACATTTCTCCCCCAGAACTCAGCTCCTTAAATACAGTAACTTTTGTGCCCGTGAAACATTACTAAGAGAGCAACAATGATTATTACTAACCATAATGGGGGGGTGGGGAAGGGAGAGAAAAGAAACTCTTTCTCGCTTCAGAAATAAATTCTAAAGGAATGTAAAAATGAGAATCTGAATACCTAAAGGCAGAAAAGGCAACTGAGAAGACTTAATTCATTCAGCCATGATAGTTGGTTCTCCTCATCAAATCCAAAAACAAGTTTCTATACCAGAACTTACCACATACCACATCAAGCATTCTAAATGATGCAATTCATAATATTTGGGCCCTTTTTGTTAGATTTTATTTTTATTTATTTTTAAATAAGAGCTTTCTTACTGCGAAATGGACAACAGGCACATACCAGAGCCAGATCCAGAGGCAGTCACATCGTAAATCAGATCTTTTAGAGTTTTTCCAGCATTTACCAGATTGCACTCAGAGAGGGGTTCCTCCACATTCTGTCTCTTTTTCTTCCTGTTTGTGCATGGTCGACCTTGGCATGCCCAGATTGTCAGCACCGCTGCCATGGACAGGAGGCAAACTGGCACAGTAATGACAACGGTCAGCTCCATGGGTCCGAGTTTGGGGGCATTTGGAGATGCTTCAGTTAAAAAAGAAAGAACATGACCATAAATCAACCCATTTGAGATACTCTGGAAATTGGAAATGTGATCACCAAAATCTCACATCTTTGATGAGGAGCCACACACTATGCACTTACGTGAGTAGGTAAAGATTCTCTGGGGGATAAGCAAAGATGGGGAAAGGGAGTCGAGATCAGGATGCACCCGGAATAATTATGCCAAGTAACCATGGGAGCCAGAATGAGGATCATGGAAAGCACCAGTGCGTGGGATCCTTTTTACATCCTCCAAGGCATTTGACATTTTTCTCCTATCTTCTCCCCATTTTTCAGCAGTCCATCCTTTGAGCACATTCATTCATTCACGACACAAATAATTACTGAGCTCCTGCAATATGTTGCCACTATTCCAGGTGCTGAGATACACCAGTGGTGGTGAGAGCCAAATCCTTGCTCTCATAGTGCTTATGTTCTCACACGCCCACTAAACACATGGATATGCGATACCCAAGCAAGAGGCCCTAAGCACGATGATGAAGCAGAGGCGAAAGCGCGTGATGCCGGGATGCCCCTTTAGAAAGACTGCTCCCGAAGGCTGCTCTGGGAGGAGGTAGGGAACAACACCAGGAGGATCCCAGAGAGGTGCGCTCTGGGCAACGCGAAAGCAAGTGTATGGCCCCGAGATGAGGCCCACTTGGGCTGCTCAGGCACAACCCTTGCCTAGAGCGCAGTAAGCCAGGAGAAAGGCAGAGGACAGTAGGAGGCAACCAAGGGAAAGAGCATGTGGGGTCTGGTAGGCTGAGCGAAGGACTGTGTCTTCTATTCCAAGTAGACGCTGTCTCAGGACTTGGAGCAGGCGAACTAACGATGTGATCTCACTTTCATTCCACCGGGCCGCAGAGGGGCCCAGGAGTAAAAGCGAAGAGACCCATGCAGTCATCTAGGCAGGAGGGGACGGGATGGTCTTGGCTGAACCTTATCTGAAAGAGTAGCACTTTCTTCTCAGTCCCCGTTCATTCTCTATACCCCTTTACTGTTTTGTTTTGTTTTATTTTTATTTTATTTTATTTACTGTTTTGTTTTAATTCCTGGGTTGTATCACTGCCTGGCACGTGGTATATTCATGTTTTTATTTGTCTATTATCTGATTCCCTCCAAAGAACGTAGGTTTCATGAAAGAAAGATTTTTGCCTGCTTTGTTCTCAACTATATCCCTAGTATTTACAACTGGAGATGATTAATAGATAGCTCTTGAATGGCAGAACCACTAAAAGTTCTACTAGTTTTGCTCTTAATAAGTAAGGGATAAGATGTTTAGTTTTAGAAAAATAAGCATGATAATTGAAACCAAGTAACATAAGGATATAATTTGTGACTCTAATAAGAAAATGCAGATAGCCAATTTTTCCAGAGCTCTTCTTGCACTTAAGAAATCTTTTTAATTTAGGGAAAATAGTAAGCCATGAAAAATCTATTATGACAGATATTTTCTGTGTTTTGCAAAGAAATTATTTTGACACTTGAAATGAGCACATAGTTCATTTTCTCTTCATTCACTAAAGACAACCTTAGGATCACCTTAATTTTATCTCCACGTCCTATCATTAGGGATGGTGATTTCTGTTTTTAATAAACCTTAGGAGGTATTTGATAAGAAGAGAATTCTGGAGTCTTATCTTCTCAGACACCAAGGAGAAGGAGAAGAATGCAGGCTTTGGAGAAAGAGAAGCCAAAGTGAGCAGACATTTTCTCCATTTGTGGCTATAATGCCTTAAGCAAACTCACCCTGCCGGAGCTGACAAGGCATACCAAGAGAGAGGGCTGCAGACACACATGGAAAGCAACAGCACAACCCCTGCACCTTAGAATCTAAACAAATGACAGGGATAATGGACTTTGTGAATTAAGCCGTTCCTCAGACTTCCTTCTTTGCAATGACAATCCTGTAGAGCCTATTATATTAAATGCATTTACATTTTACTTACAATATGTCAACCGGAATATGTAAATATACATGCAAAACAGATATTTAATTCTCAAGGAAAAGGAATGGAATTCCTCAAAAATGTGTTCATATGAGTATCATTATAATCCTAAAAATAGGTTTTTTTAGGATTGATAACTAAGAGTTAAAACTGTTAAGTGAACTCTGGAAACAAACATAATCCATGCTCTTCTACTTTGCCAGGGAATTCTGCCAGATCACCAACTTTCCTTCTCCAGAGTGTTTCAGTATTCCTCTGACGTCATCCGAAGTTGTATGAGAACTTGGCCTTGAATGTTCTCATGACAAGATGCTAAGAGTTCTTTGACTTGACTTTGCTTTAGAAATCATTAACTGTGGTACTTGCAACTTCTACCGTTTGCTGTTATAGAAGGGTTTTATTATCCATTACACAGTGATCTTTCAAATCTACATTTCAAGTTGTACTTATATCTTTAGGTCCTCACGATGGTATTCTAGGAATTCTATGAAAGCCACAGAAAGCACTTAATTTCTTGCAACCTACATAAACATCTGCTTAAATATATTTTTAAAATCAAAATAAAATTTAAAAAATAAAATTCCACTATTAGATTCATTTATATGGCTGTATCTTATTTCAATATATGTTATCAGGAGCTATGCATATAAACATTACAGTTAAAAAGCTTGTTGATTGTCTTCATTTTAGTAAAGCACTATTAAGCGGAGCTCAAATCATCACTATGGCAACCAATAAAGAGGCAAAAGGTCAGCAACCCTGAAAATAGAATACTCTCTATAAAAGTGTACTGCTCTAGTGAAGGTTACTGCTCTCAGAGATGTTTATTACAGATGGGCAATGTTTCTACTTTTGTGAACAAATTTACTGATAGGAGTTAGTAATAAAAAAAGATTACTCAGCTAGAAAAAGGCTAGCAACAACATCCAGAAAGAGCTCCTTAAACACTGAGCAATTTTTAAAGCAAACATTTGTAAAACTATCTTCTAAACCAAATGTTGATTGTAATCTCTACAGGAGATAAATGAAGAAAAACTGTAGTCTACACCCAATGAGTCATGGCAAAAGAGATAGTAGTGCAGTTAAGAATACATTTTAATAAGTTACCTTTGATGAGCACTTTATTTTTTCTAGCAGGTTTTACATTCTCGATCATAGGAGAACTCTTATTATCCCATAATTTCCAATCTGAGATTGTCTGGGCCAAATGAAATGCATGCTCCATATTATAAGCAGTTCCATGGGGGGATATGTTAATCCCAAAAGTGAGGTCTGGGGAACGCTGCATTGTCCATTCATGTTATTTCATTCCCGAGCAAATTAAATGGAATAGAATGGGGGGGGGGGGAGAGGAAGCACCAGCCCAGAGGGGTGAGAGCCTAGGTCACAAATATCTCCCCTGTATAAGCTCTATGATACACTGAATCGAGACAACATAGGGAAAGGAAGTATTAACAAGGCAGGGAGAAGGGCACATTGACCCGAATGGGGCAAAAGGTGGACAGCTGGAGAGAGTCAGGTGAAAGGCAGACGAATGTAAGAAAGTAAGATAAGACAAAACAACAACCGAAAAGGAAGAAAGGAAGGGAGGGAGAGAGGGAGGGAGGCAGGAGGAAAAATTTTTTTAAAACATTTTTTGTGTGTGTGAACTTTGCAACTTCCCCTAGAGATCTGAATGGAACTATTGATGGTGAAAGTTAATGGCCATTGCCAGTGCTCAAATAAATTTCAGAACTAGTTTCGATGCCTCAACTCCTCCAAGACAGTGCCTGCTTGCCACTCCCCACTTCCAGCTTTAGGGAAGCAGTCCTCAAGATGAAAAAGATAATAGGGGCATGATCCGCATGTTTCCTCTCCTGCTGACCTCTTCTCTTTCCTTATTAAAAGTCATTTTTGTAATTGCTGATGCTTATGGGATTTATATGACCTTTAAATTAATTAATTTATATCTCTTTAGTATATGCTATTAGGAGATGACTGAGAACTTAGTGGAGCTATGGACTACGCCAATTGCTCCAAATGGCCCATATTGACCATTGGCACGGAAATCTTGGAAATGTCTACATTCCATGTAAAGACACATTTCTTCATTATATTTGAACGACCTTCAACTGACTAGAAACTACGACATTACAAGGGAGTGAGGAATAGAAACTCTTTGAGAAGGGACATGTGGGTGGTTCAGTCGGTTAAACAACCAAGTCTTGATTTCAGCTCAGCTCATGATTGTGTTGTGAGATTGTGAGTTCAAGCCCCATGTTGGGCTCTGTGCTGGGCATGGAGCCTACTTAAGATTCTCTCTCTCTCTCCCCTTTCCTCTGCCCCTCTTCCCCCTCTCTCTCTAAAAAAAAGAAAAAAGGAAAAGAAACTCTTTGAGAAGAGAGTGCCTGAAGACATATGTACTGGCTGAACAGCTGTTGAAAAACAAATTTAGACAAAGAAAACAGAGGTCTCCATCCAAAATGAATTTTTGTAAAACTTTATAGTTTAGTGCTTCCTTCCCAGAAGCTGCTACAGCAAATAGCCCATAGAAGTTGAAGAGGATCCAAAACACCCCTAAAGAAACCACAGACTAATTTAATATTAAAACCACTCTTAGTCCTTTTATTAAAAGTTTTGCCCCAAGTGAAAAGATACTGTCTTGCAAGATTCTATTCATGAATGTATAAATATCAAGTCTTCAACTGCCTCCCCACCCTGCCCGCCCACAAGGGGAAGCATTTATTTTTCCGGTCTGGAGCATGTTCTCAGGTAGTAAGCCAACCAAAACAGATAATGCTGCTTGAGATGCTTTCTGATGGGTCCTGGCACATGGAAGAAATGCCACCAGGATCAACTGAATGCTGTGGTCCATCCACCTACCCTACAAACCCTCTATGACACAGGCCTGTGCATCAATGAAAGGGTCTTTGTTTAGTTTAGTTCACAGGTTTCTGGGGGAAATTGTGGAAGTAATATCTGCAGTTGAAACAAAGGAATACATTGCTTCTAAGACATTCAAAGCTACCTTGTTAATTAGCTCAACAGGAATAA